AGTAGCATAGGTTTAGATACGGATACAAGGAATATTCCTTTGGATATTCTATAATTTGTACTTTTTAGGGTTTTTGGGAAATATCCCCTATAAATAGGAGAAGATAGAGAAAAAAAAGGGATCATCACTTTATATGAAAAACACATTGTAAAAGGTTGACCTGAGAGAATATACAACAATTGTCTTGTTCATTGATTATCCTATTCAAGCACACGATTTTACTTCTTTATTCACAAGATCCAAAGATTGTTCAACTCTCTTTATTTCTCTTTTCTTCACGTTTCTATCAGAGAAAAGAATCATTCAAGTCTTACAATAATTGGGTGGTAGATTCCTTTTCGTTATATTCATTGTCATCTTCTACATTTATTGCACATTTACGTTGTTGCATTTACGAGCATTTAATCAGTACAAACACATTAATCTCTGGATATTGACAAAATATAATGGATAAAGACAACTTATAAACCCACCGCCTCAATTCTCCAAGCAGGTGGGTAAGCTGCCTGCTTGGCAGCTTGAGTAGTGCCACTTTGGACACTCATATCTCTCTACTCCGATATCGTATTGACAAACGGTTTGCAAAGCTGGAGACTAGACAATAGGAATTTAATTCCATCTAAATATCTCCATGTAACTCTCAATATATTGAAAGAAAACTGCATCGCAACTTGGCCTACAAACCTGCCAGTTTCTCCGAAGTGCGGCAACGTGACTTGGTGACCCTAGTTTAAAAATCCATATTTCTCTACCCCGATGTCGTAAGAATAAATGGTTTGGAAAATTGGAAACTAGGTTCCAAGACCTTCATTTGGTATGATATATGTCCCAAAATGACACCATAAAGCATACGATTTTAATTTCTCAAAACGGCTCATTACAAGGCAAATCTTAACTCGATTTTTCTATAAGTTAAATCCAATTTTTCCCAAACTTTATATTTTATGTCCTAACATCATATATAGTCATATTATGACTTTATACTCATTAAACCATTATTAACAAGTCTCATATTCATTATACGTCACCTTAGGACGCACAGGGTGTAACACCAAACTTGTCGATTTTCGACAAAACTTATCTTCTTCAATTCATTTAGCTTCTAAGCCTTCCAACCATCTTGGTACTTGTTATTCATGATCTTAAATATTATTAACTTCCACGGTAACATGATTAACTTACTTATATATTTTTTTCAAAGATGATTTCATTTCTGAGCTTACATCAATTGACTTACGACGTACTCTTAAGTGCGAAAACATGGGGTGTAACATCATTCCCCCCTTTGGAACATTCGTCCTCGAATGTTGACTGATGCGCTTATCAGTCTCATACCCATAGCTCTTACGAATATTTAAATATTATCCTTGCCATCTAGCCAACTGCTTTATGAACGAATCTAAAGGCCAGGGCATTCCTCTTTTAGGCCTCTTTCTCACACCACGACTAGTAGTCGGAATCCTTCATCATGCAGCCTGTACCACCTTTTTCCTTGTATGTTCGCCTATACGACTCTTTCCTCCGGCCTTTTCCTCAAGATTTTACCCAATCTCTAGGCCTCACCTCATAAACATATACAGAGCTTGACAAGATGTCCCCCTGGACATCTATAGGTATACTGAAGTTCTCCGCTCGGTACTTTGATGAACCTACGAATATTGGTATACCTTACTTAATGGACCCGGTTATCCATCCATATGACTTTACCGTATCCACGTAGGTCATACTGTAATTACTGAGGCCTGCCACCAAACTCCAGGTTATTCTCGTTGCTTATCCTATATGCATAAATCTAAGTCCTTTAATGCTTCCTCATTACTGTTCATCTTAAGAACGACGGCCTAATCTCATTTTATACTTTGTGACTTTTGTCCATTCATTGTTGATTTACCTCAATATTGATCTACAATTTACCACTGATAACTTAAAACTTCTTACGTAATCATTATGGCCTATGTTGCATCGAGGAACATCTGGAGTATTTCCATAACCGTTTTTCATAGCATCCCAATGTGATTCACCTTACGTGGGTGTGTCAATCCTGTATAATTCATGCAATCTCCCTTTTTTCTCAAATAATCACTCAATCAAAGGCCCAAATGTCATCCCTTATTTACCACAACTACATCCTCATTCTAATACCAGGGCAGCATTCCATCTCTTCTAAATACTATTAGTCTTAGACTCCTTTGAGTTCTTTCAGGATACTGAGCTTTGTATAACTTACAGAAACCATCAACTCTTTTGTTTTCCTGGGCTTAATTCCGGGGACTTATCCATTTCTCGTCACCTTCTTACTCGCCCTTTCTTGTCCTTACTCATGTCTTCCTACTTTAGCTTGCGACCTATACATGTCTATTTATACTACTCGCAACCTTCCTTCAACTTGCTTGCACCATAGATTTCCTTGTGTTATTCTGGATCATCAAGCGAGACATCACATCGTCTCTAACTCTTCTTTACTCTCTTAATCAGGCTTCCCCGATACCTAGAACCCATAGGCTAGAAGGCATGCCACCGCTATCTTTCCTGGATACTGAATCCCAACACTTCTAGCCTTCAATCTGAAGTAAGGACTATTCACAACCTTCTGCACTTGACTGTCTCGTACGTTGTTCACCTTTACCTTACTTGCTTTAAAATCTCGCATCACGTCTTCTATCTCTTTCATAACTTCCCTTCTACATAGTTATGATTTATATCCACAACTTGAAGCTCTATTGTAATACTTACCCCCTGGTGCATACACAATCTGGTGGGAGCTTCATACTAACTTCTTATGAGGCTGGTACTCTTCTAACTGGCTTTCTCTTAGAGCCGTTATATAATATGGTTGTCGTACTATCTCTCTTATACCTCTGATATTAAGGGTGATCCTGCAATGTTCTCAATCGCGATTTCTATAATTTTCTGGGTCCAATAATCAGACTCCTGATTTACTTGGTTGATGTAACTCTTTAGTTTCCTCTTCCTTCTGATCAGCCTTTATGTAGGCTTAAGCCATCTTCCGGTCTGCGGCCCATGGTATTAGTTATTACTTTAGCCTTTCATGGAGGCCATGGAATACCCGTGACACCATCATCTAACAATTCAATTCTTTGTTTATGATGTAGACTCAATTCTTTTCTTTTCTTTTAACTTATACCGGAGTCTTCTAGGCTTTATGATTGTCAACATATATGCTGCATGGATAATACTCCGAAATCTTAAGTGCGTTCATAACGTAACTAATTCTGGATCATTTTTCGAATAATTCCTTCCGTTTCTTCTCAGCTTTCTTTAAACGTAGGCTATTACTTTTCCTAGTCTTTCTGCCCCCTTGTAGCGTGCATACTTAGCTGTTCTTAGTTCCCACGCATGACGGAATTTCTGTGCAACTCACATGATCTCGAATCCTACTTTCTTATAAAGTGCATAAAACGTTGTAGTGAGACTGTTGTTACAAGACCACTTCACTACAAGAAATCACACTTATTGCGGCGACATAAGTCGTCACAAAAACCATAGAAGTCGCTGCTAAAGGGTATTAGTGGCGACTTTTGTATTGCCACTGGGGAAACCATCACTAAAGGTTACTTGTGGCGATGCTTGAGGTCGCCACTAAAATACCATATTTTGTGGCAACAAAGTTGCCACAGAAGATTTAAAAAAACGCTACAAAAATCTGTTCCATAAGAACAAATATTAGATGGGTGGCCACTATAAATGTCCTTTAGTAGCAACTAAACTTGCCACAAATAATATTGATGTTCAGTGGCAAGATTATGTCGCCACTATAAATATTCTTTTGTAGCGACTGAACCTGCCACAAAAAATATTTATGTTCAGTGGCAAGATTATGTCGCCACTATAAATATCCTTTAGTAGCGACTGAAATTGCCACAAAAAATATTTATGTTCTGTGGCAAGATTATGTCGCCACTATAAATATCATTTAGTAGTGACTAAAGTGGCCACAAAAGTTTTAACGATGAAAGACACAATATATTCTATAGCGACTAAAGTCGCTGCAAAGAAATTGACATTCTGTGGCAACTTATAAATTGCAACAGTTTATAACTTTTTGACAAAACTATGTCGCCATTAAAAGTTATTTTCTCAACAATTATAACGACCAAAATTATATACATTTCCATGCCAGTAGGGACCTAATTCTCTAAAATTTCATATAGAGATATTTATATCAATTAACTATCAATATTAAAGCAACCAATAATGCTTGACAAACACCAAAAGAATTTCTCAAGCCGAATATTATAAATATTATCATTACTAAAAAGTCAATTACATACATACTACCCGATACTTCATTGTGCATTATAACTGTACGCATATACATATCCCAAAAACGATAAAATATTAAGTGCCTTGTAACTGCTCCTTGCCCGACACCATTGTAACTGCTCCTTGCCGACACCATTCACTACTAGAAAATGGTCCTATTGGAACAATATTTAGTAACGGTTATGCAACTGTTACAATAAATAACAATTTGGAACGATTTTAGTCGTACCGATAGAGTCAAAAAGCTTTTGGGACACTTGTGGAGAAAAACCGTTCCAATAGTATAACAACCGTCACCATAAGTTTAGATGTGGAGACGGTTTATAAAGATGACACAATAGAGTACTTTGTGGGAACGGTTTTATGAAATAAAAGTATAATGGAAGGTTTATTTTCCCCCCTTAATTTCCCTCCTGCATATTTACCAACGCCAATATTTTAATAACTTAGTTTAAGTTATATTTTAATTAAAAAAATATAGAAAACCCACAAACCCTCAAAACAGACGCTATTTTCTCTAAATCTGAAACCCACTAAATCTCTCTCAATTTTCAACCTTGAAAAATCCGACGACTGGCTGCTCCGGCGAATGACGACCTGCTCCGGCTAATGACGACCTGCTCCGGCTAATGACGACTGGATGCTCCGACGTCTGGCTGTTGGCATTGAAATTGTTTGCAGCTTCTTCGATCTGCTTTCTTCTTTGGTAATATTATTTGTAAACCCATTATTCTACATACTTTCTGTAATTTGTTTTGCTGAAAAATTGTAATTTTGCTCAAATTTTGTATAAGATTTTTAGTTTGTAAAATTGGGGATTTTGTTGGTGGGTTTTTATTTCGTGTTAGAAATCCATGCTCGATTTGCTATCGATGTTCGATACTCGATGTCTTCTTTGTTATTCTGTATCGCTCGGCTCTTTATCGCTGTATAAGCCAATTGTAAACATAAGTTGATGCTTTGGTTTCTAATTATTGGTTAAAAAGAATGAAATACCTATTCTGAATGTGATGAGTTTGAAATACCGTGTTTACTGTATGCGTTAGGTCTATTTGTCGTCTTTTCCTTTGTATTCTGTTTATGAATTATGTTTAATGTCTTCCTTTGGTTTGTCATTTCCAGTGTATCATTTTGCCTTACTTAAATGACAAATTATGCTTTGTGAACTCTCGAAAGGAGTTGGGGATAGTCAGGCATGATCTTTCTTTGTTTTCTTGTTATTTTGAAAACTCGTTTATTGCTATTCTTTTCTCTCATGCTACTGTATGCTTGTAATTCCAGGCTTCGATTAGAAGAAGTTCAGCGTATCTTATTGGATATCTGTTCAAAAATTGCGACATATATATTGGTGATGTAGCTCCAAACATGATATCTACCCTGATAATTTTGTTTAGTGATCCGGATTCTGATACAATGGTGGTAATGTCAGGATCACTGCATTTCTTTTGTATGTTAATTCGTGTGGGTTATCTGACGACTTATTGACAGGTTGCATGGCAAGCTCTGTCTAGTGTTGTGAGTTCAGTTCCTAAAGAAGTTCTTCCAACATACATCAAGTTGGTTCGTGATGCTGCATCTACATCAAGAGATAAGGAACGTAGGAAGAAAAAGGTTGCCATTTTCTATTTCAGACAGCTGTAATTTTATGTTTTAAAATCATGGGTGTCACAATGTTTTCTGTTGTTTCATGAGTCTATGTTGAGATTTTAACATTCTTCTTAATGAACATGTAGGGAGGACCAGTTCTTATACCTGGATTTTGCCTTCCGAAAGCTCTTCAGCCATTGCTTCCTATTTTTCTCCAGGTATTCCAGCTTATTATTATTATTGTTGTTGTTGTTGTTGGTTTTATTATTATTTTTTTAAAGGTACTCTGGCTTATTTCTTTGTAAATTCACGGTAGATATCGTTTCTCTTTTTGGTGGGTGATTTTGGGGTGCTGGTGTTAAGTTGTATATTTTTAGAGGAAAATTCTTCTGAGAGTACATCAGAGTATCAGTCTTCAAGTATAGCAGACATTTATATTTTTTTGTGTATGCTGTGGCAGGAGGTACATTGGGATTTGTAAAAGTGCATTTCAGAGTTGATATACAAATATCCATTGTAATCCTAGGAAAGAGAAAATAGTACATAGTGAAAATAAAGGAAATTTGTAAAAAGGTGTTAACATGAGGATACCAAAGAAAGAAACAGAGAGAAAGACTGAATTGGAGAGTAACCTAAGCTTCTGTTCCTTCACTGCTCTTTTTCTTAGTTCCTTCTTCACCAAAACAACGCTCCCTAGCTTTCCTCATTGTTTTTTATTGCTACGTTTCATCTCAATGGTAAAATTGAAAAATTATCCTTGCCAACTGGCCCGAGGCATCAAAACCTTAGCCTAGGCACCAAACTTATTTCTTAATCGATGCGAGGCATCATCTTAATTCTGCTCTATTGCTTAATACTGGTAATTATAGATTGTATTAACCTCCTAATAGTCCTATGTGGTATTTTATTATTGCACTGCTCCTTGAATTTTCTGTTACCCAGTGTGATTTTCCTTTTGACTTTCTAGATTTTGTATTTTCATTTTCTCTGAAGTCAATCAGCGTATGCTGAAATTGTCGTACTATGCTTTCAATTGCAGGCCCTTGATTCGTATTATAGGTGACAGATTTCCTTCAGGATAACACGAGGTTGGTTCTATAGTGGTATACCCTATTTGGCTGTTAGAAGGGGAAATGATGTGTTGTGAAACTGATGCCTTTCTGATCTGTTTTCTCTGACTGCTTTATGACACCTATTACTTCTTGAAGCGATAACTTCAGTTCTTTGTGATCTTTATTCCTTAAACTTATACAAGTTCTATTATAGGACAATACGATCTAGTGCAGCTCTTGCGCTTGGGAAGCTTAGTGCTCTCAGCACCAGGGTTGATCCTTTAGTTGGTGATCTGTTATCTGGCGTGCAGGTGATAGTTGTACTTTATTCTACTTCTCTATTGTCGCAATTCGTCTCTTTTTAAGAAGCAGAGTTATTCTATTGAGTTATGGTTCAACAGACATCAGATGTTGGAATTCGTGAGGCTACTCTGCTGC